CGAAAACCTGGTATGCGTTGCACCGGCTGCCTTTTTATGCTCACGCTGTGATCAGCGGCAGCTGGATGCAATCATCGCATGCCAATGTGCACTGGCTCGTTTAGTTTACACTCGAAGTGGATTGGTCTCTCTAAGCGAGATCCCAATTCCAATTCGTCGGTCACCGACGTGACGTCTCCGTTCCCTCCTTCAGGGAACGAGGGTTACATATGTAACTGAGACGATTCTTGACAACTGCTGACAGCATTCACTAGTCTCCTTTGGACCAGTGCTTCTGCACGGTACCTGTCTAACGGTGCTTTGCAATAATTCTGTGGACATCACGACCAGCAAACAAGCGATATCCTAAATAAACTGACCAGATTTAGCCATTTTGATAATATTCTCCTTGGCTGCAGAAGACAGCTCCTTCCTCTTGGCCATTTTCACAAACACCCACATGATAATGTTTAATAATATAGCTAACAATTCCCGCATTGGCTGACTGAATTAAAGCTTTGGAATAATGAGTACAAGCTTTGTATATCAGCTTTTGCATCATCACAAATGAAACAATTGAAATGTGGAGCATTTACATATAGTTTTACACTCCAAGCACAACTATGCGATATGCTTACAAACTTTAATGCATTTTTAATATGTCTGAATAAAGGGCTAAGATGTCAGTTTTCCTAAAAAACTGACCAGCCACTGACAGCCATTACTTTTGGCCACTACTGAAACTACAGTAGCTAGTGTGATTCTATTCTGATTAAGTAAGTTAAAAAGTTAATTAAGTTAAATGAATTGAGATTCAGTTTATTTATTGCTATATTGGCATTACAGAAGTATAGAAATATGGCTAGCAATTTTACAGTAATTTCACTCGTAGCCGTGAGGTATATCGGCACGCTGTGATTACCTACGGCTGAATCACAGCCGCACTGATATACAGCCATTTATATATATACACTGAACAAAATTATAAACGCAACACTTTTGTTTTTGCCCCCATTTTTCATGAGCTGAACTCAAAGATCTAAGACTTTTTCTATGTACACAAAAGTCCTATTTCTCTCAAATATTGTTCACAAATCTGTCTAAATCTGTTAGTGAGCACTTTATATATATATACACACATACACACTCACACACACATTAAACACTCAGTGATCACACTGCATGTTAGCCAAGTTTAGTTTTCACCTCTTGTTCTATTCTTTTTCAAGGTCATTTTCAGTGAGGTGAGAATTTATGTCCTCAAAGAAATGGAAGGCACTTTTTGCTACAAGTTTCCATGTTCTTTTACTGGTCCCTGCAGAGCAAACTCAGACCACACATCTGTTTCCGCTTATCGTGGAAAATGCACCAAGGTGGCTTTTTTGGATATGCTACAATTGTAAAACATTGTTTATTTTGCTGTTTATTCATAAACCACTGGACCAACTGTTACTTTCATATTCAACTGCTCAGGAGGCTATTTAAATTATTACTACCATTAGTCTGTGTATAAAAAAAAATCATAAACATGCAATGGCCCCAAGAAGTGTCTGAGCAATTGGTAAAACTTATTGTTGGTTCATGATACCTTGTATTACCGACCTGAACCTTATTGGAAATTGTTACTGGACATTTAAACATTTACTTAAATTAGATAAATGTCATTGCATTCGGAGACAAATGATCAAACATATGATATCAAGCATACAAAAAAAAGAAACAATAAACGAATGACGGGCTGGTGGTAGTGCTTAAAACGTTAATGGTTATTTAGTGTAATAATAAAAAAATACACTGAATTGCTGGGTTCATAAATATCAATCTATTTCTCTGCTTTTGTTTGAACTGATTTGCAGAAATTAAAAGGTGGACTGTGATAGGCAAGTGTTTGTGTATTAGCACCACACATTTCTGAAAGAAAAGAGGTCTGAAATTTCTGCTTAGTTAAAGGGCTCATATGATGCGATTTCAAATTTTCCTTTCTCTTTGGAACCCCTTTAAGGCGTAAATGACAGACTAAAATAATGAGTAATTCCAAACACATTCAGTCATTTTACAGGAATAAACAAGAATGTAAGAATCTTTTGTTTCCTGTCTCTTCGCATGTGTGTGAGAGAAAAAAACTGAAAACATGCTCTCAGCTAAGCGACGGTGAGTCAAGCACATGAAGCGTGAGAGAACTGTGAAAATCCGTTGATATCAGTGGGAATAGTGTGTTGTCAAGACGGAGAGGGAAAACACAAACACATATTTACATTTAGAATGGATCTTTCCACGCCTCCATAAAAGAGCTAACTCAGTCTTTCCTGTCTCAGTCAGTGTTCAAGTGCAGTGATTCCCAAACCCTGTTCCTGGAGCCCCACAATACTGCACATGTTCCATGTGTCCTTTGTCTTAAGCCCAAGACAAAAAATAGCCTACGAGTCAATAGATGTCATCATCGTACAGTCTACATACATGTCGTACCCAAGTTTATTAGATCCATGTCGCACAGTGTGATCTGTATTGATCTTCTAGGATTGCTAAAATCGTGCAGTGTGTAG